TTGATCCATTCATCTACTGAGGGGCATCTGGGTTGGTTCCATATTTTAGCTATAGTAAATAGTGCTGCAGTAAACATAGTCGTGCTGGTAGCTTTAGTGTGTTCTTGTTTGTAAACATTTGGGTAAATGCCCAAAAGTGGGATTGCTGGGTCATAGGGGAGCTCTATGTGGAATCTTTTGAGGAACCTCCACTACTTTCCAAAGTGGTTGAGCAAGTTTACACTCCCACCAACAATGCAGTAAGGTGCCCTTCTGTCCACATCTCCTCCAGCATCTGTTGTAATTAGAGTTCTTGATTTTTGCCATTCTAACTGGGGTGAGGTGGTATCTCCAATAAACCACTAGAAAGCCAGAAGTGGTGCTGTGGCTCAAAGGGTAGAGCACTTGCCTTGAGCTGAAGAGCTGAGGGATAGGGCCCAAGCCCAGAGTTCAAGCCCCATGACTGACAAAAAAAAGGATTCAAATGTTATTTCTTTCTTGCTATTATTTCTAACATATTCATAAGATGATTTCTTTGTTGCTTGGTATATCCCTCCCCCACGGTATGACCTCTGTTTTCACTGCACTTGATGTTGGTATAATTTGTGGAGGGGAAGGGAAAAAACAAACTGTTTAAATAGGGATACAGGTGGACCCATTGCAACAATGAGATGTGCAAGACATTATTTCAAAAAATGAACTTTACAACTTTGGGATAGGAAGGGATGGGAAGGGGAAACAAAGGAGGTGGCAACAATGTTTGATAAGAAATGTACTCATTACATTGCTCATGTAATTGTAATTCCTCTTAAGGTATTTTCACAATAAAAAAAGTTTCTTCTTCCAAAAAATGCCTGTGTATTAATTATATTTCAGAATTTTGTTTACATTATATGTTATACTTAACAAAGTAATGATATTACTTTTACAATAGTTTCATGTTATCAACCAAAACAATGCACAGCCAAAATAAAATGATTAGGAAAATGAGACTTCAAACAAAAGGGTATGGTTAATTTCCAAATTACTACTCCAAATTGCTACTCCAAATTTGCTACTCCAATTTCCAAATTGCTACTCAGAAAATCATTTTGTCTTTGGAAAATAAAGCATTTAATCCTGTGTCAGGAGTTTATGAAGGATATTGAAGACCTCATGATCAGATAAGTGTGATGGACTATTAATGTCTTCTTTCTGTTTTTTGTTTGTGCCAGTACTGGGCGTCAACTCAGTGTCTCACATTCTCACTTGGCTTTTTAGGCACAAGGCTGGTGCTCCATCACTTGAGCCATACTCTTATTTTGAGCTTTTGTTTAACTGGAGATAAGAATCTCCATGATTTGTGTGCTTGGCCTCAACTCAACTATGATTCTCAGATGTCAGCCTCCTGAGTAGTTAGGATTACAAGCACGAAGCACTGGCACACAGTGACTACCAGCTTTTAATTCAGAGACTGGCCGTTTTCTGTAGTAACTGAGTGTGCCACTTGATGTACTTTTCTTGAAAAAGTCGTATGGACTCAGAGTCTGATTTTATTGTATTAATAGTCATACGAAGGCCCATTACAGTACAGTTAGGTAACAAAATTTTTAGTAAATAAAAGATCTAATGAAAGAAAATTCTAATGTTATTATATAAATTACTTAATATTTAGTACCATTTTTAGCTTTACAATCCTGTTAAAAATTTGTCTTGAAAATAAATTTCTCTTGAACAATACTTTTGAAAAAATGTAAATACATGCTTTTTTTCTTTTTTTTCCAGTCCTGTGGACTGAACTCAGGGCTTGAGCACTGTCCCTGAGCTTCTTTTGCTCCTGACTAGCACTATACCACTTGAGCTCAGCGCCACTTCTGGCTTCTTCTGTGTATGTGGTACTGAAGAACCAAACCCAGGGTTTCAAGCATGCTGGGTAAGTACTCTACCACTAACCCACATTCCCAGCCCCGGTTTTTGTTTCGTGTCATTGTGTGTGTGTGTGTCTGTGTGTGTCTGTGTGTGTATGTGTGTGTGAGAGAGAGAGAAAGAGAGAGAGAGAGAGAGAGAGTGTGTGTGTGTGTGTGTGTGTGTGTGTGTGTGTGTGTGTGTGTGTGTGTACTAGTCTGGTGCTTGAACCTAGGACCTAGGCACTGATAGCTTCTTTTCCTCAAGGTTAGTGCTCTGCCACTTGAATCACAGCTCCATTTCTGGCTTTTGGTGACAGTTTACCTCATAAATTATTTTTTCCCCAGTCTGTCTTCTACAACTAAGCTGCATTTCCAGCCCAATACCTGCTTATTTCTTTTACTACTATTCTTTTACTACAGAACTAAGAAAACTTTAGGATTTGTTGACTACATAAAACTAGTAGATGTCAACAAATTCTTGCTGCTAGTAACCAACTATGGAAATAGATACAGATATTAAAAAATTATCTAATCACATGTTCATATTTGATTTTATATGGTGAACTGAATTTAGTGTGTATACATATATATTTGGGGGGGGGCAGTCATGGGGCCTGAACTCTGGGCCTGGGCGCTGTCCCTTAGCTCTTCAGCTCAAGGCTAGCGTTCTACCACTTGAGCCACGGCCCCACTTCCGGATTTTTTTTCTTTTTGCTTATGTGGTGCTGAGGAATTGAACCCAGGGCCTCAGGCATGCAAGGCAAGTGCTCTACCACTGAGCCACCTTCCCAGTCCTAGTGTATATATTTTGAGACATTATATCTTAATTATATGACATTTTCAAGTAGGTACAATGTTTATGTTTTCACTTTTAAACCCATATTTCTTTTCAACAATCCTAACTTTGAATCTTCTTTTATCAACATGCTTGACAATAGCAGTAGTTTATTTTTTTATTTTTATTGTGAAAATACTGTACAGAGGGGTTACAATTACATGAGCAAGGTAATGAGTACATTTCTTATCAAGCATTGTTACCTCCTCTTTATCATCCCTTATCATCCCTCATTATCCCTTATCATCCCTTCCCATCCCCCCCTCACCCTCCCCTCTCCCCACATCAAAGTTGTAAAGTTCATTTTTCTACATAACATCTGGTACATCTCATTGTTGCAATGGATCCACCTGTATCCCTATTTGAACAATTGGTTTTTTCCCTTCCCCTCCACAAATTATACCAACATCAAATACAGTAAAAACAAGGGTTATACCGTGGGGGAGGGACATACAAATCAACATAGAAATCATCTTATAAATATGTTAGAAACATTAGCAAGAAAGAAAAATCATTTGAGTCCTTATCTTGGGGTTCATTTCTCCTAATATCAACTTACCTGACCATTTCTGCTTGTCTCAGACATATAATAGTTATTAAAATTTTCTTTGATAAGTTTTGGGGTATTTTACTTACTACATAACAATAAATTATATAGCTTCGATAAAACTATTCTTTAGCAATTACAAATGTAAAAATGAGTAATATGTGTACATCATTTTATTTTTAAATAGCCTAGTGTCTTCTTTATTTCTTGTGTAACCTTTTTAGAATAGTTTTAAATTTATATTACTATATGTGAAATTAAGATACTCAATATTAGATACCCAATATCTTTTTCCCCTCATATTAGCATCTGATTT